AGCACATTTTGTTGCTGCAGATGTCTTTGTGCTCTGTGAGACACTGGGAAGGGCTATTTGGATGTCATCTGTCCCGATGGAGTCACCAGAGGAAGACTGTTCTTTTCTCAAAGAAACTACCCTTAAGGGAGAACAATTACCTTCTTTTTTTTTTTTTATTTCAGCATATTATGGGGGTACAGATGTTTAGGTTACGTATGTTGCCCTTGCCCCCCCTCCTCCCCCAAGTCCGAGCTTCAAGCGTGTCCATCCCCCGGATGGTGCGCATCGCACTCTTTGTGTATGCCTATACCCCTCCCCTCCTCCCCCCTCCCCCCAACAATCGCCTTCTTCAAGGGACTTTTCTCCCACCAACTGTCAATGACCAGACCCCTTGCTGTCCAAAGCCCCCACGTGGCACACATTACATGCACTGCTCTTGGTGACTTCCCAGGGAAGAAAGTGCCTGGACGGCAGTGCCTTATAGACCAAGGTCTGGCCCTGTTCTGTCACCTACCAGCTGTCGTTCCATCTCTCTGATCCTCCTCTCCACCTTGGTAAAATTGCTTCACTGGTGGTTCCTAATATCGCTAAAATAGTATGACATTGTAATGCTTATAGGATTATGGACATCAGGCCTCTGGGAAGGGGTGAGAGAAGATACTTTTTGCTCTTAGAAACAGGTATTAAAACTGCTTCCTGTCACTCTGTTAACCAAAGCAGAAAATTTCTCATTAGTTACTTCACAGGGAGAACCAATGGTTTGTTGAAGTGTCAAAACCTCACTAACGTGTTTACCACGGAGAAGTGAGATCTTTTTTCATGCTCTTTTCAATGTGAAAACTTCCTTTAATAAAGTAATGCATAAAATTTAAAAAAACAAGGAGATGCTATTGTAACCACTCTGGTTACCACATCTGTTTTTCAGGAAAGAATGAAACTTATGAAAAAAATATGCAGAAATGTAGTCATTTTTCTCCTCATCCAAGAGAGAAATCCAGCCTCCACTTTGAGCCAAGTATTTGAGGATGATTTAGTTGGAAATGTATTCAGACAAGTTTATAACAGGAGAATAGGATTCAGACAAAGGAAAACCTCTAAAAGGGTTAAGATGCTCAAAGTAAGGTCTTCTTGTCCTTTGAAAAGAACAACTAAACAATTATTTTGACAATGTAAAGATCCTGATTTCTAATGGATGTGTGTCAACTTATTTCCCATTTGACACAAAGTGATACAAAATTTCTTGGAGAATTAGAAAAAATGTTTATATTTCTACTTGAGCAATTTAATTGTACTCTTCAATAGAGGCATGTTTTTGTGTTTCAAAATGCATTTAGACTTAATCCAATCTGTCCCTTTTCCCCAGTTCTTTTTTTTTTTTTGAGACAGAGTCTCGCTCTATCACCCAGGCTAGAGTGCAGTGGCGTCATCGTAGCTCACTGCAACCTCAAACTCCTGGGCTCAAGCGATCCTTCTGCCTCAGCCTCCCCAGTAGATGGGACTACAGGCATATACCACTGTGCTGGGCTAAGTTTTCTATTTTTAGTAGAGACGGTGTCTCACTCTTGCTGAGGCTGGTCTCCATCTCCAAACCTCAAGTGATCCTCCTGCCTCAGCCTCCCAGAGTGCTAGGATTACAGGCGTGAGCCACTGTGCCCGGCCCCAGTTTATTTCTAATGGATGAAAAATGCTATTACTGGTAATTATCTCTAGCCTGCCGGGAAAGTAATGGGCTGACCTGATGGTATAATTTCACCTCTACCCTCACAGTTCAAGAGGTCAGGAAAGCCAAGGCTGGTGTGAGTGTCGTGCAACCGTCAGCAAGGATTAAAGGGAGTGACTCATTCTTCCTTTACACCTTACCCATTGCCATTACCCTGGCAGCCAAATCTTTTCAGAAAACAGTGCCTTGGAGAGGAAATGCAGGAGAAAGGAGAGGAGAGGAGAAGTAAGGAGACGAGGGGAGGGGAAAGGACAAGAGAGAAGAGGACAGGAGAGGAGAGGGAAGAGGGAGGGAAAACATCAGCCCTGCGTGTTTTATATCACTTCATCCCACACGCTGCACAGTGTCACAGATAATGTTCCTTTTATCCCCTCCCTTGACATTATGATTTTCTATCACAAAGGTTGATTCCGTTAAATGATTAAAGGAGTTTCTTTTATTTAAAAAAAAAATCTCTCAAACAAAGATTTAGCATATAAGTTAATGCGAGAAGATTCGAACAGTGCCCAGGAACAAGAATACCAGGTGTGGGACAGGAGCTCTTAACCATTTGTGTGACGAATGGATGGACAAAAGAACGAATGAACAAGTAGCACTGCCCTAAGTAAAATATATGACCGCTGAGCTAATGCAACCGTTTTTCAGTCTCAGATTTAACAACATCTTCCTCAAAGAAACTTAAATAGCAATAATCGTGCCTCAGATAAACCTCATTGGCTATGATACTGCTATTGTGCAAAGCTTAAAAAAAACTTAAAACATAGGATATGGTTTATGACATAAACACCCTATCTGTGTAGCTTCGAGAAAACAGTTATCTGAAGATACACACAGGGGTTTTACAAACACAAAGTGGTATTCATAATTGCTGTCTTAGATTTCTTTTCTGTTATAATTCACCTCACAGACTTGTAGACAGGAGGGAACTTCCTGGTCACTTCATCACCTGTCAGTCTCCTTATTTTACCGGTGAGTAAATAGAAGCCCAAAAAGGTTACCTGATTTGTCTAAATGCACACAATTCAGAATGACAGAGCTAGGATTGGAACCTGGGTCTTTTGGCTTCTAATCCTGTGTTGTTCTTATTGCACTATACCACAATTTACCAAAAAAAAAAAAAATTCCCCCAGTTATTCTGGGCCCTGAATCCTTGAAGTTGCTACCTCAGCTCAACCAAGAGCTAACTCTGCTAGGTTTCTGATTCCAGCACAGACAGAACGTGATGGTTCAGAAGATGAGAGAAATCAGAACCTGCAAGATCAGCATGTCTCGTGAGCCTGGAAGTGATGCGGTGAAAATCCTCTGGCCTCAGTGGTAACTAAGAAATCGAATGGATCCTCGAGGCAACAGGCAAAATGGCACGAATCTGGGCATATGAAATATGTTGCGTTTTTAGCCCATGCAAATACCAAAGAAACTTTTTTTATATTAAGTAGGGCTTTAGCTCAGTTGTAAGTTTCGAGCAGTTGTTAAGGACTAGGTACCTTCTGTCAAATTTTAGTTCTCCTAGACCAAAATGCATTGACCACAACTGGACTGAAATTAAGTTACTTGACATTTTTTTTCTTGTCCGTCTCGCCCCATGTCCCTCACCATCCTCCCCATATCAGCTTCACCCACTGCTACAGTCAAAATTTTCCCCAAATTAAAACACATTCATGGCATAGAATAATGATCCCAGCTTTCTTTTATACTCTAGTCAGAACCTCTTCACATAAGTAAAGCTCAAAAGATACATGGGCACTGTTTCAAGACTGTCTTGGAATCACAATTGGTCCACTGTTCCCAAACTTTGTGTAGAAATCACCACACGCCTCCCGACATTTCTCACCAAGGGGGCAGCAAGGAGGAGGGGATCTCCCTAAACTGAAATACACCAACTTGAATCTGACACAATTTATCTTTTTTTTTTTTTTGAGACAGGGTCTTGCTCTGTCACCCTGCTAGAGTGCAGTGGCGTCATCATAGCTCACTGCAACCTCACACTCCCGGGCTCAAGCCATCCTCCTGCTTCAGCCTCCCAAGTAGCTAGGACTACAGGTACTCGACCACCACACCTGGCTAATTTTTCTATTTTTCGTAGAGATGAGGTCTTGCTCTTGCTCAGGCTGGTCTCAAATTCCTGGCCTCAAGCAATCCTCCCATCTCAACCTCCCAAAGTGCTGGGATTACAGGCATGAGCCACAGTGCCTGGCCTGACACAATTTATTCTTTAAGTGATTAAAAGTATACAAAAACCTTTCAGCCAATCAAAATAGAATAAATAATCAGAAATACCAAGTTAGGTAATTTTTAAATATATATTTCCAATATAGCTCCATAATTCACATAGAATGTCAGCTTGTAAAAACAAGAGTAAAGTCTAGGCAGATTTAAAACCCAGCCAGGAACTTAATATCTGTAAAAATCCATTGAGAAGAACACAAAAAGACTGAAGTAAGAAATCAACAGCAGCCAGCAGCTTTGACAAAAGAGATCGACAGGTTTCTAAAATATTATTGGTGTTGAAGGAGTCTATTTTTGTGTGATAACTATTTCTGTTCAGTATCACCAACTTTCAATTTATAGCAAAACTGTACATTCAGTTTCAGCTGTCTTTCACAAATACAATTCTATTTTAAATATCATGGTCACATTTATGTAAACATCTGGGAGAGTTTAGCAAAATATCTCTGCCATTTGGAAGTCCTAACACTTTAACAAACATAATTATTTCTTAGCCATCTCATTCGGCGGTATTTTTTGACAATGTGAAAACCAGTGGCATAAAAATTAACTCCAGCAAGACAAATGATTAAATCGAACCTTGTTATTTAAATCTATGTTTGCCCAATCACTTTCCCTTAAAGGCAATTCTCAATCAAACTCAAGAAAATGTGGCAATATGTTTTGGAGCATGAAAAAAGTTTGAGCATGCTAACGAACCAACTTGTAAAATATAATTACAAAAGATTACAAACATGCTATCTCGAACATCTTACTGGTGTAAATTGCATAAACACTCATGCAACATATGCCATTCAGAGTAAAGAGGAAGGAACAGCATTTTTAACATCATATCCATTTTGGAAATTGGATACCAAATACTCCCATCTTCTGTTGTTATGATCCTTTAGTTAATATCTTACATTCTATTTGCCAGAGCTATCAAGATGAACCACAAAGAATAAAAGTGGACGGTAGAAAACCAATTACTTTAACAGAGGTTAAGCTGGGAAGGGCCTCTGTAGTAAGCGTCCTACTTTATCTCATTCAAACTATCTGCTAACAACAGCAGGAAAAAGGTTCGTATTCTTACCAATGAATTTCTGAGGCATTGAGCTTTTTCGTTTTGCCACATTGCTTGCTAATCTGTCCAGAACGAGAGCTCTTTCACTTCCCATCTCTGCTTTGATGTGTCTTGCCTCCGCGCTTGCTGGTTTGGAAAAATATAAAAAGAAGAGGGGAAAGAATACATTGGTAAATGGGGAGAAAAAGAAGTATACTGGAAAAAGGAGTGTCCGCCGTCTGATGCACACTCTGTTATTGTTACCTGTTATTACTGCTCAGATTCTTGCCTGGGGTACCTGCGGTGGTCAGGGAAGCCGTGGCCAGGGCACATTCAAATCGTGCAGTCTTATGCGGAGATGGGAAAGCCCGACCCATCCCCAAACAGTACCTTCATTAGCAAGAGGAAGTATTAAATAAACAGCCTGGACGTGGTTGGTTGCAAAAAGATAGATAGATGGAGATCTTCTACCCCCTGATCAGCCTTCTTTCTGATTCTGAGAAACTGCGCGTGACACCTGCAGACTGATATAATTCTTCTTAACAACTTTGAAAAAAAAGCATGGTGCCCCAGATTTACTGCTGTTTATGTTAACGACACTTTTGAAAATAGATACACTCACCCAGATAGCAAGAAATCTACTCAGTGATTTGTGTATTGAAATTCTGAGTGGTTTCTTTCTTTCTTTCTTTTTTTTTTCTCAGCATGCTCCTCTCAGTTTCTGTCTTTCCAATTCTATTTCTCTGGGCTCTGCATTATCTGTTTCATATGCTCTTCACATTTCAAAATTGTCTCAGCTAAAATTTCCCTGAGCAACACTTCTGTCTTGAAATTAAAAAACAATTTGTATAATGCATCTCTATTAAATTTCTAATGAAAAGTGTGAATAAAAACTGCCTAATTGTCATCCATGAATAGATCTTTGAGTGGTGTAGGCCTTAGACCTGGTGACACATTAGAACCACCTGAAGAACATATAAGAAATACTGGGCCAGGCGCGGTGGCTCAAGCCTGGAATCCTAGCACTCTGGGAGGCTGAGGTGGGAGGATCACTTGAGGCCAGGAGTTCAAGACCAGCCTGAGCAAGAGGCCCCGTCTCTACTAAAAAATAGAAAAAATTAGCTGGGCAACTAAAAATAGAAAGAAAAAATTAGCTGGGTGTTGTGGATTGCTAGAGCCCAGGAGTTTGAGGTTGCTGTGAGCTAGGCTGACACCACGGCACTCTAGCCCAGACAACAGAGTGAGACTCTGTCTCAAAAAAAAAAAAAAAAGAAAAGAAATACCTCTGCCGAGGCCCCCCTTCAAATCAATTAAATCAGGATCTCTGGTTTAGGGGCCTAGGCAACAGTAATTTCCAAGCTCCCCAGATGATGTTAAAATGCAGGCAGAGGTCTGGCGCTGTGGTTCACGCCTATAATCCTAGCACTCTGGGAGGCCAAGGCGGGAGGATCACTTGAGCTCAGGAGTTCAAGCCCAGCCTGAACAAGAGTGAGACTCTGTCTCTACCAAAAATAGAAAAAATCAGCCAGGTGTGGTGGTAGTCTCAGCTACTCAGGAGGCTGAGGCAGGAGGATCACTTGAGCCCAGAGTTTGAGGTTGCTGTGAGCTAAGCTGACACCATGGCACTCTAGCCTGGGCAACAGAGTGAGACTCTATCTTAAAAAAAAAAAAAAAAATGGAGCCAGAATTAAGAACCACTAGAACAGTACATAAATAGTGCCAATATCTAATCAATTAAAATAGTAAATTGGAATAACAGTATAATTTACCTTGGTATAGCAGGTAGTACCCAATCATACTTCATGTGTAAAGTTCAAAGAGATACCAGCTGCTCTAAATATAAGGCTTTTAATTTAATTTAATTTACTTTTTAAGAGATAGAGTCTTGCTCTGTTGCCCAGGTTAGAGTGCAGTGTGGCACAACCATATTTCACTGTAACTTTGTACTCCTGGGCTCAAGCAATCCTCTGGCCTCAGTCTCCCAAAGTCCTGCGATTACAGGCACGAGCCATCATGCTTGGCCCAAGGCTTTACATTGTAACACGCAATGCTAGCCTCTATCCAGTCTGAAAAGGTATCTATCAATATAAGCCTAGGCATCTGAGTGAAACTGCCAGTCATAGAAAGGCTGGACCCCCACGTGTTGGGCTCCCTGTGTAGCGGGTTGCCTTTCTGTCCTTGGACTGCCCCAAGCACATAAACAGTTAGTTGTAAACGTGGTTCTCTCAAATAAAATCCATCAAGGCATCATGCTCCCAATGTGTATTCATGTAGGTGCCTCATAAGAGGCCGAACCAAAGCTTCGGGTAGGAGAGGAGTCCATGAGAATTCTGTCTCCATTTAGCTGTGCCATCCCAAATGTCAGAGCCTCAGTCTTTAGTTTTTAAGGGGGCCCAAATCTACCTGGGGTATCAAGTCCCCGAGGAACAGATCACCTCCAGTGGCCTCCTTAGCAGCTCTGCCAGTGGCCTGACTTCTTTTTGTCATGCTGGCCACCTGCATGGGCTCAGCCACCGCCTGCATCGAGACCATTATTTCAGTGGCAAGCCTGAGGGATCAGCAAGCTTTCTGTAAAGGGCCAGACAGTAAATGTTTAAAAATTTGTGGGACATAGATAGTCTCTGTCCTATGTTCTTTTTTTTTTCTGTCCCACAACCCTTAAAAAATGTAAAAACTCCAGTATGCAAACAGCATGATGGCTGCATTTGGCCCAAGGACTGTAGTTTGCCCACCCCTGTCCTAAGCAAACATTGTAATGCTATAAACATTTTCTCTGTTTTACCATAAACATTTCAGAAGGCCCAAAGTAAAATGAAGTACCCGTACATACATTTCTAATGTCCCTAAAGAATAAATTGGAATTAGTTTAAAGGATTAGTGCAAAAAGCAAGTAATGATTGCAGAATGGAATCCCCCCCTCCGCCAATATATACACAGATTTGAGAATTGTCAGTATTCATTCTATAGTTGAAGGGTACGATGTGTTTGCTGTGTGAAGAGATTCTGATGTACAGAAATAATGTCACAGATTGCGCGGTCCCTCGTACATTCAGTACCACAAATGGCCTTACCCAGAGAGAAGAAAACTGGCCACCTTTGCAGTAAATGAATGACAGAGAAAGACCTCCCAGGCAAGGCTGCTGAGTATGGCCAGGGTGAGAACAAAAATCAAATCAGGAAAAGAGAATTCAAAGTATAAAATATCTTTCATTTTATTATTGGCATTAAAAAAATATGTCAGCCATTACACAATACATTAACAAGCTCAGGTGTGTTTTTTTTTTTTAATTTGGGAATAAAATGAAATCTGCCTCCAAAAATGAATAAGAGAAGAGGATGATGATAATGACAATATTTACTAGACTGTGAATTTCTTGTCAAAAATAATTCTAGATGCTACGGAAATAAATCATAGCCTCCATTCTAAGCTATTAACAACTATTCATGTGAATGACAAAAATAAGAGGACTGGGCGGCTTTTGGGCTAGTGGTATAGTACTGCCACTCTGGCCAACAGTTGTAAATAACCGGCACTTTAGCGACAACACACTGCTCTTGAGAGAAGTGGGTCAATTTCTGTCCAGTATAGGGATAGGTTAAAATGACCAAACAGGAAACTATTATATATATTATTTCCTTTCACACAAACCACCACCAGATGTGGCACTACCCAAAGCCCAACAGCAGAGAAATGAAAGACAAAGCCTGGAATTTGAAATAAAAAGTGGGGAAGAGGCGGCTAAGTGTGTGCTTTGACCAGGAACATTCATTCTGATTCAAACAACTGAGAGGATTTAACCCAAGTAAGGCTCCCCCACACTCTGTATTTTTTATCAAAAATATTTATAGTGAGGCCAGGCCCAGTGGCTCACACCTGTAATCCCAGCACTCTGGGAGGCTGAGGTGGAAGAATCGCTTAAAGCCAGGGGTTCAAGACCACCCTGGCAACATAGCAAGACCCTGTCTCTACAAAATATAAAAAAATTAGCTGGGCCTCGTGGTGTGGACCTGTAGTCCCAGCTACTCGGAAGGCTGAGGTGGGAGGATCACCTGAGCCCAGGCATAGGAGGTTGCAGTGAGCTACGATGGGGCCACTGAACTCCAGCCTGGGTGACATAGCAAGACCCTGTCTCTGAAAAAGAAAAAAACAAAGAAAGAAAAAAAAATTTATAGTGAAAAGGGAATGAAAAACAGGACTCTGGGTACTTTTAACTTTTCTCGCCATTTTACCACTATTCTTATTAGTCTCTTGGTCCCTCCTCTCATGGCCAAATCGCTACCCAAGACTTACCCCAAGCATGATGCTGCGAGTCTAGTTTTCCCACTTGTTTATCAGCAGTCACTGCCTACATTTTACCAAACTCACTATCAATCACAACAAGCAGCTTTCTGAGGACACGTAATCAACATCCTCTACATTTAGGAGGATGCTGAAGCGTGGACACATTGACCTAAATAACCGTAATTAGGGCATGTCACTAAATGGCAACCTTCTGAGATAACATCACCTTTCATTCCTGGTTACCCACCAAGCTGGTCTTGACAGTCATTTCCAGCTAAATCTTACTGTGTAAATCAGTGACAGTGCCTGACATTTAAAAGAATAAAATTCCACAGTGTTCATGGATGAACACATTTTGAAGCTTGGGTGGAGACTTTCCCATCTCCACAACTCCGGTTAGGTTAAAAGAAATCCTCTGAGGCTAATCTAGAGGACTCCTGTTCGCCCGTACCCTTTCGCCAGATCGTTTACTCAAAATATCAACTCCAAGATTCCCATTGAAGACACTCTGGAAATTTAGCTCAACTTTACTGAGTCAGACTGTGTTTTCTTCTTTTTATTTTATTTTTTGTTTTTCACAAATACTATCTTCTACACAAGCTGTGTTTTCTAATTGGTAAGTTAGGAAAAGGCAAATTTTCAATCGAAAATGGTGCACTCTCATCTTCTTTCCTAAACTGCTAGTCTTTTGCCTTGCAACTGTTGCACAGTAGATGCACAATACCACTGAATGAGTACCCTTTAAAACACAATGCTTGGGAGTTGGACAATCTCTTTGGGATCACAGAGTTTAGGCAGTGCACTGAAAAGAAAAAAAAAAAAAAGAGGGCTGTTGGCTTTTGGTCCTCTGCTCCAACTTTAGGACCCAACTGTCTACTTATACAGACAGTCTAGACTTGTTATCTTGCCATATCACGTCTCAGAAATGTAAGTAGAGGGAAACCAGTTTGGCAAGATAGTAAGGGAACAAGATAATGGGTTTAAATGACGAAATAGGAAATCCGTTCCTGGGTGGTGTTTGGCAGTTTAATGTTGCAAGGGGTGGGCGTGGGGAATTTGGGTTGGTGGCAAGGAACAATTTGCACATTTGGTTCACGAGTGAGCACAGAAGGGGTAGGACTGTAATTGTGGATCAACTTGCCTTCATGTCACTTGCCTACTAAATAGTGGATATACCAGTTTTCATTAGCAGAGTGATTTTAAAGACATGTTGAAAAAATAAATAATAAAATGTAATACAAAGTCACAGTGACAGAATAGGTTACTATCTTTTTTCCCTGCACAAACCTTCATAGTTTGTCTGGTTTTTAGTTAACTGTTTCCATGA